CTTCCATGTGAAGTGATTAAGTGGGCTTGATCAAGAATGCATATTTGGGGCGCCTGGGGGGCTCAGTCGGTTAAGTGTCCGACTCTCGATTTCGTCTTCAGGTCATGATCACAGGGTCGTGAGATCGAGCCCTGCGTTGGGCTCCGTGCTGGGTGTGGAGCCTGCTTAAGATTCTCTCTCTCCCTCTCCTCCTCCCCCTCCCCTCAAAACAAAATACACGTTAGTTTTGTACAATTATCCCAGAGGAAGCCTATCTTGATTGTGCTGGAATTCTCTCCAAAGCGGCTTCAAATGTTTTTTGTGTCAATCTCTAGCTTCTGCTGCTATCTGCTAGCTATTTACAGCAAACAGAGATCCAGCTACTTCTGTTCATGATAGTACATCTGCATCTGGGTTTAAAGACCTTGTCAGTAGGCACTGTAACTAGGCTCCCAGCCCTTAAGCCTTGATAAAGAATTCTGGCTGAATGGATTGTATTGGCAGCTGAGCACTGCCTAACGTGGACCGAGGGAGCAAAGCACACCCAGTAAGCTGTCTACGTGCCCACGGCTGGAGTCAGCTGTGACTGCTCAACATTAATTGGGGTACTCTCAAGATAAATGTCTTTAGGTAAACTTAAGCGTTTATAAGATCAACTTGCATCTTGAAATAGTTATCGTTGGTTGACTGCCTACCATGTGCCAGGTTCTGGGTTAAGATCTTTGCATATATTATCATATTTAAATTCTCATAAAAACGTGTAATAACACCTACTGACACATTAAACCATCACTACCCGACAGGCTGCATTGACAGCTTTGCATACACATCTCAACCCTATTTCTATTATTCTTCTCTGACAAAATTGGAAACGACCATAGAGTGGGAAACATGAACTTGTCACATGGTCAGGGACAGAGATGGCCCTCTAGAGCTTGTGCTTCCAGCCACTTCACGGAAATGCCTTGCTGTAAGACAGCTGGACTGATCGCCATCATTTTATCACCGAGGGAACTGCATGAAACTTGTTCAAGGCCATGTTAGGAAATGGTAAAGAGCATGATGGGTGTATCTCTCTCCAACCCTGGGTCAGATTTGTCTGTTCACCCATGGCTTTCCTGTTCTAGACAGCTCTGTGTATATATGTTCTTTGATAGTTTGCATGTAAGGTTTAAACGTTTTTTAGAAATTATAGAGCAGGAAAAAACGGGGGGCTTCTGCTACTATAAATGAAGTAATAGAAACTGAATTATGCAACATTCAGCCTTAAGATGGGCCAGCAAGTCATTCCTACTCAAATCAGCTGAGAAACTTCTCCCTAAAGGGAGGCTTAATCCTGGCAGAGCCAAAGAACATTTCTTTGGGATTACATACTTCTCTTTATACTGTTCTGGATTTCCTAAATTTTCTACAATGAAAATGTTACTTTTTTTTTAAGTTTTTTTTTTTAATTTATTCATTCGAGATACAGAGATACAGAGAGAGAGAGAGAATATGAGCAGAGGGAGAAGCAGAGGGAAGGGCAGAAGCAGGCCCCCCGCTGAGCAGGGAGCCCGATGTGGGGCTCGATCCCAGGACCCTGGGATCATGACCTGAGCTGAAGGCAGACGCTTAACCATCTGAGCCACCCAGGTGCCCCGAAAATGTTACTTTTTAAAGTAAATGTTCACAGGTAATGCTGAATACATTCTCATGATAAACATTCAACTACACACAGCCCTTCCCCTAAACACTTACCTTCCACTCCCCCTCTTCTAGACTCCTTTCTAGAGGTAATCACAATTTAGAAGTTTGTATGAATTCCTTTGCATGACAGACCTGCACAGTCCTATAAGGAGATCACTACCCATACGTGGCTATTGACTACTCGAAATGTCCTAGTTCAAACTGAAGTGTGCTTGTAAGCATAAAATACACATGAGATTGAAAGACCAAATATGAAAAGGGTGTAAACTATCTCATATAATTTTTATACTGACTACATGTTGAAATGACAATATTTGGGATGTATTGGGTTAAATAATTAAAAATAAATAAATAAAATACAGTATTAATTTCATGTTTCTCTTTGCCTTTTTAAATATAGGTACTAGAAAATGTGGCTTACATTATATTGGTATCAGCCAGCACTGCTCTGGAGTGTAGATCATTTTTAATACGTTTACACACTTATTTATATAAAAGATTATTTTTTTGTGCTTTCTAATGTAAATATGCGTTACTTTTATACTTGGACTAAAACTTTTTTTAAAGTATAACCTTTAAATGCATTGATCATTAAATTAACTCCGTTCTTCCTTCCTTTCTCGTCCTCTTCCCCACCCCACCCATCACCTCCAATGCACACACTTCTTGACAACTGACAAAGCCTCAGAGTGAAGAAAGTAATAAGTATTCTTGGTCATACAAATGTTGAAGTGAGCCCACCTAACAACTGGATTACTCCAACCCAGGCACAGATTAACAAAAAGTATCTCCTTTTTGGATAAAAGAAAGTGCTAGTCAATGGAAGAAGGCTTTGGAGTTAGTGGCTCCTAGACAAAAGACATAGGAAATAGCTACAGTTGCCAAAAATGACTACCAGTTATTTTTAAAGAACTAGATCCAAATTTGCTATTCTCATCATGTCATCTGTTCCTCTGATTTTTTTTTTTTCTTTTTCAGAAAGCATAGTTCCATTACTTTATGTTGGGTGACTATGTACCACTAACTCCCTTTCCCTTGATCAATATTGCTTATAAAGCGCCACCTCAGTTCAGCTACTGAATCTTGATTGTTGTCAGAAATAAATGCTGACATGCGTGACCATGTCTGACTCGTTTGAAGGTTATAAGGTACTGAAAATTTCTGTTTTGTCTAATACCTAAAAATGAGTCCAGTTCAGTGGATTCTGCAAAGGAAATGACCCCAACAAGCGCCTGTTCTCCCTGCACTTAAAAACTGCCTGCCTGCATATAAACAGTTGACACACAGCGCACTCCTGTCAGTGAGCTGGGACCACGTACACATACTCTTGTGTTAAGCTGGAAGGGTGTTTCCTGTGTTCTAGCAAGGCCTTAACGCAAGCAACATATTAGCAGCTCTTACTTGGCCTCAGTGTGGAACGTCCTTGAGGGCAGAGGAGAGACAAAGAACATTAGGCATGAGCAGGGGTGCTGTCCTGACTCACTATTCTCATTCCCATGAGTGCTCCTTGGTGCCCTGTTCCATTTGCGTCCCTCTGGTTACGTGCTGCCTTGATAAAGGACCGCAGTTGAATACCTGTTTCCCTTTGCCCCCTCCTTGCCGCCCTGACAAACTTCCCAAGGACGAAAAAGAGGCCAGGGAGGAGGAGGAGCGCCACAATTTTCTTCTAGTTGGTAACTCTCCCAGTCTAATAAATCAAAATTTCCTTGAACAGATTTCACTGGGGGCTGCTCCATTTCAATAGGACATTCGAAAAGTGTTTCTCCTCTTTTCTTCCTATTCCTCACCACCTTTTTCCTTCATTCAAGGAAATAGAAAACAAAGCAGAGACTAGGGCAATGCAAGGCCTTTCAATTTTTACTGAAGTGCCAAATATCACAGCAATTAAGGCAACCTTTTGAAACTTAAAAAAAAAAAATTCTCCCTTAATTAGGATGGACTTCATCTGAGTGGCTACCATCTGCTGAAGCAGCCCAACCCTGTCCTCCTTGGGTCTTGGCAGCTACAGGTGAGTCGGGCCCCCTTCTCCTTTCCCACACCCCTGCTCAAGAAGCTGCCAGGGAGCTCTCAAGCAGTATCAGCAGGCAGGAAGTGGGGTGGGAGCGAGGGGGGTCTCCACCCATTAGCAGCTGCCTAACTAGTAGGCAGGGGAACTATTCTACAGAGAACTTCAGGTCAGCAGATACTCCAAAGCAATTTATACCACATGCTACCCAGTTGTGGAATTAAAATGCTAAGGGAGGAAGGACCTAGCACGCCAATCTCCTTATTTTCTCCCTTACCTGGTGTTTGGCACCCAAAAGAATAAAAGAAGAACAGTTGGACTTGGTGGTTTAAAGGGAATTATTAGGCAACTGGGAGGAAGTGAAGGCAGCTGTCTTCATGGAACATCATGTACCAGTGACTAAATGTCAGGACCCATCATTGTCCAAGTGGTGACGTCTACACAGGTTTAGTAACTTGCTTCATTCAGATTAAATCAAAAGACAAGCTTGACAGATTATCAGAATCTTTGGGGGAGGGCGGTGGGTGGAGTGGAGAAAGGAGTAAGGCAATTTTAAAAAATGACTTCATATTTTTTTTTTAAAGCACAATATTATCACCTCTGTGGTTTTTCTTCAGTTTCTTCTAGTGTAATGTGAAATAGAAGTCTTGCCAAAAGTAGGGGAAACATTTCCAAATAAGTCCTTATAGATTACATTCCAAATCTAAAATAAAAACTTGTAAACATGTGTTTGCCCATCAGACTTCAGAACATTTTTGTTCACGCTTCCCTTGTGGAAGAAACTTGACTTTTTCTTATGCTACTTCCTTAACAATAATTTGCTATGGTTTTAACAAATGACTAAGAGCCGGGTTCATAATTATATATATATAGCATATACATATTGAAAACAATTCTTTTACATTCCCTCACTAATAGGAAAACATTAAATGATTACCTCTGTAAATTTGTTCCGATTCGCTTGCAAGCCAACTTTTACTACCTCAAAAGGGTTAACCACGATAGCTTCTGTTAGTCCAGATCCTAATCCAGCAATGGCAAACGTCTAGAAAAGTTCAATCAATCAATAATTTAAAACAAGTTATGTATACTGAGTTAAACATCCTATTCATTACACTCTGCAGCTGAATGTTATGTGGAGAATGGAGAAACATATATAAATGTACCATATACCATTACTAAACAGCTTTAGTTCTTGATTAGATGCTGACAATTCATGAAGAAGAAATTACAGAAGCCACAAACCACATCCTAACAATTCAAAATAAAATGTCAAAGCCCCATCAACAATGACTTTTTCCTTTAATGAAAAGAAAGGTTGTCTTAGTGATTTAGGGTGGATATTAAAACATCTGCACATGTAACAATTAAAAGAGTCTGACTTATAAAAGGCAAGGCTCGTTTTTAAAACATCTACTTAAATCATTATTGAGCATCTCAAAAAATTCAAGAAGAACCAAAAATAAAATGTTTATAAAAAGCCAAATTTCAGATAACAAAACAGTGCAGCTAAAAACACTCAAATGTATAGCCCTGATGTTAGAGTCACTATTCTAGACAATTGACAAACAAAAAATTTTTTATTCATCCTTTCCCTATTTAAAAAAACCCCTGATAACTGCCCTATTCTTCTAGACGTAGAAGATGAGGAATAAAAGTTGAGATCAGAAATGGCGAGGTTGTTCTGAAGGGCTCAGCTAAAATCTAGAACATCTCTCAAAAGATGATGTCAGGTTCTGATTTGCTCTCAGTTAAGAGCTTCTGCAATAAGGAACTACAACTTTCTCGACTTTTCCTCAAAGTAGAATGTTTAAGGGTTTTCCAGAAAACCTGTATCAAAAATAACCACAACAGTTAAGACACACACACACACCAGAAAAACAAAATGAAACAAAGCCTCAAATTTCCAAAACAGATGTTGGAAAAAAGTAGTTCTTTAGTGCTAAAGCTGTAATTCCAGGAGAAGAGGGAACGCTATATACAGCCAAAAGAAGAAAAAAGCCAATGAAGAATAAAGAGCAGATAACTCTTACTAGGAGTCTCTAATTTCTTCAAAGTAGACTAAAAGAGAAAAGAGAAAGGAATATTCCCTAACCTTGGAAGAAAAGGCAAGGTAGAACAAGGGAGGATCTAGAGGGAAGTCTGGATTCAGGTCCTGGTTCTGCCACTTCTTGGCTGTGTCACCAGGGCTGCCATATGCATTAGTTTGTGCACAGAAGAAGGTGTGTGTATGTGTGTAGGCTGAGATCCCGCCTGCACCGCACTTGCCAAGCTGGAGCCCTGCAGAGGCGTCCCCCAGGGGAAAGGGCAACTTTGCATAATTCACACAAAGGCACCACATGTGCGAGCTGCAACTCTGTGTCTAAATCACTCAGCCTTTTATAAGCCATAGTTTCCTCATCTGTAAAATGGAACAATGACATCTAATCTCCCTAACTCATATGAGGATCAAAACAACGTGTGAAGGCCTTTGTAAAGTGCTTTACAAAAACCATTGGTCCTGTTGCACATAAAAATGCAGAGGAAGAATGGGATCGTATACGGATTCAAGGAGAGGGAATAATTCATCATGTTTTCCTTTCACGCCCCTTCATTACGATTTTAAACACATTTGCATAGGGTAACAGACCAAATATTTCATTCATTTGTCTCAGACTTCCATCATGGAAGCCAAAACATGTGTGTGTGCACGCATGTGTACACACACACACACACACACACACACACACGTCCCAAACTCTTCTGACTGGGAAAGCTAAAATCCAGATGTTCAGGTTTTTATTACTTACTGTATGCAATCTTCCAAATAATTCACTTTTTTGTTCTTCTATAAAACTCAGCTACATTTGCTGTCAGAACTAGTGTTCAGCAGTCCCTTGTCAAAAGAATTGATCAGCTATCAGCAGATCACGTTACTTAGATGATTCCAGAGACCAGCGGTAACAGTGGGGTTCCCAGCCTCCTAGGCTTTTCATGTGCGAGAACCAGGGGACATTTAAGGGCTGTTTAAGTGTCTAGCTGTATCAAAAAGAAACTGGAATAAATGAATTCAAGGAAAGAGAACAACTGTCTACAGTTTGCATGCATTCAGTTAGAGTAGCTGGAGTGGCCAAATGCTTTTCTGTTTTAATTCTCACGAGCCCAAAAGCCTGCAGCCTCTCACATGGTACCAATGCTCGACACAGGAACAGCCAGCTGGCCCTCTGGAGACCATATTTTATTGTCTTTTGCTAGGAAGTTTTTAATCCTCTCTTAACCAAGATGTTTTCAAAGTTGAGAATGACATTAAGACAGCGAGGCATTAAAAAAATAATCTGAGCTAATATTAGGACTCGTGCTGCCACTTCTACCATACAAAGCTATTTTGCAGTCACCTTGTTTAGGCAGGAGTCTGGGCGAGAAGTTTCTTAACAGGATCCTTCCTAGAGAAGGGGCATGTACGGTTTAAAAAATAACAGATATTTCTTCTTGGACAGTCTATTGGGCAGAGTAAATATTCTGAAGTAAACCTTTAAAAGTTAAGTAACGGAAGAGCTGAAGCTCAGAACACTGCCTCTCTGGTTGAGTTTTGAGGCCCATTGCAGCAGGTAAACCGGAGGACATTTCTAGGGGCTGGGAGGCCCACTGTCAGTTGGAGGGCCAATGTATCATTTGTTTTGCTTTGTTTTGTTTTTCAGATTTGGAGGGAGAAATCAGTGCACTTTCTCTCGGGCTCTTGCTGCACACATACTCGTAGAAGCCATCTGGCCACTCTAATTTATCTTGTGAAAAGCAGCAGTCACCAAGAAGGAGAGGAGAGGCACTGAGCAATGTTCACATCACCATGCGATTTCCATGTAACAGCTGAGATGTGTCATTGTAGCATCGCTGTTCTCCGCAACCACTAAAGGTCCTTCAGTCTGCATCTGCCTACAGGGTGACCTGAAGTCCTGTATTTCCTACAGCTGGAGCAAAAGCTGGAAAAGTGACCTGTTAGGAAATGTTTTAGGCATACTGACTTTTGCATAAACAGATATGCGCAGTACGTAGTATGTAAACACATGCATGCTTTGGCTTTCACAGAATCTTTGACAAATGTACTCTTTATTTTATATTCTTGACCATATCTCATATGGGTCTTTCCACACATATCACTGTTATCATAAATTCATCACTGGGAGCTATAAAATAGCCAAATTGTGAGTTATTAGGAAGATGGCTTTCAACAAGTAGCTGAACATTGAATAACTCGAATTCATATTTTAGTAGTTGGGCTTGGGGAATCAAAAGGGTTTTTGTTTCCAGATTTCGGTTTATGAAATAACTCACACACTTAAGTATAATAAATACTCTCACTTACCAAAGCTGGCGACAGTGACACATATCCTAGCAATTTCTTGTACTGCTCAAACGTGAAAAACTGTGAAACAAAACCAAACCCAGAGATTTATAACAATGTCTTGCAACAAACCCTTTAATTGACTCAAATTTCTTTAGTAAATCATGATATTAACCAGCATTTTAGAAAAATGATAAACCAACGAACACAGTTTTTAATCTGGTCTCGGGTAGTTGCTTAGTGGGCCTTACTTGAACATTCACATTTTCAAATGCAACTATAATAGCCTACAGAAGAGCTGATGGAATCCTTTATAGCGGTAAATGAACCATACAGCTTCCATTTACCATGACCATTTTCAGTTTCCCCAGACATCAATAGACTTCTTTTTTATGGCAGTGATTCAAAATTATAGGCAGAGAGACCCCAAATCTCTGGTCTCCTATGTTTTCTCTGTGAACTGCTTTCCCAGTGAATGCCAGTTTTCTAACCCACTTGTAAAAGACACCCCCTTCTCATCTTTAACTTGCGCATATACTCTTGTGTATCTCCATTGTTTCATGGAGTTTCTAAACCCTCACTGATGATGAAGGTGCCATGGTAAAACAGAGAAGGACCCAATGAGGTCATGTAGTCCGTCCTGACTTAAAGCAAGACTGTCTTCAACCTTTCTCCTTTCACGAAGAAAGAGAGCTGCTTTTTCCTTCCTTTAACATCTGATGAAGATTTTGTAGGTTCCTTTCATGAGGTAACATTTCATATAATTTTCTCTGCAAATAAATTTCTATGGAGGCAAATGTCATCAGACTTCATGTAATGTGCCCCAAATACATTTCTCTCCTCTCTTTCTGTACTCTGTAATTTGGGAAACAATTCTCCTTGATCATGATGTTTTGCTCCTGGGCGCTCTGTTAGTAGAAGCTGCCAATGTCATTGGTAAGGCACAATCTTAGGTCCTGCTAGGGCCTGATTTTTAAGGCCCCAGAAAAGGCATGGGTACTTGATGGTCTCGAATGCCTTCTACTCTATTACTTTGTAACTCAATAAGAGGGGGGAAGAAAAAAAAAGCAGATTTGGGGATCAAATAATACTCTGTTGTTAGAAAGAGGTAGTTCTATGTAGACATGGCTCTACGAGTCTTTGGGCAGAGATTTGGATTCTTTTAAAGACCCAGGAATAACTTTTGTGCCATGTTTCTTTAACTCAACTACAGATGTAGACTTTTCTAGATCAGGGATTCCTTCATTTACTCATTCAACAAATATTTATTGGATGCCTCCTGCAGCAGTGAATAAAGAGAAACCCCTGCCTCCTTGATCTAACATTCTAGTGGATGGTGTCAACTCCGAAACTCTCCTGGTGTTAAAAAAAAAGCACCAGTGGCCACCGTTTTGGTGAAACCATTAACCATGGAAGGAAAAGTGTTACTGTCTTAGGCTTTACAGATAAGTTTTTTTCTTCATTTTTATGGTCACTATCATCACTATTCTTTGACAATCACCTTGCTAGGGTTTTGATGGGAGCAGTCCTGGGACTGAATCCTGGCTATGCTACTTAGCTGTGAAAGCCTGGGCAAGTCACCTGACCTTTCCAGCCCTCGAGAACACAAAACTTACCTTCTAAAATATTCCTTAAATAACAGAATTTAAGTAAGATTTTCTGACATGCCTGACACAGATAGGACTTTCAGAAAATCTTAGTTTTCATTCTCTTTCTTCACTTTGGGCTAATGGAGGAACCACAGTTACTTGTATCCCTCACGATAGCTTGCTGTGGTCCAGGTAACATGCGAAGGCCTTGGCAGGTGCTACTGCGCCGAATCCATACAAGACCATCAGAAAACAGGTTATAGTACGATCATGGTTCTCATTCTGTAGATCCACATCCTGCAGCTAGTGAGTAGAAGGACTGACTGCAAAGCCTGTGTATGCTCTTAAACACGACATATGCTTGCTCACTGCTGAGCCGTGACTGTTAACAGTTTGGGATTCTCTGCCCCAGAGTTTTCTTGCTGCTGAGGTCTTCTTGCCTTCCCTGACCTTGGAAGCCCGGAGTCCCTCAAGGCAGAAGGTTTCAAACCTTTTGGAGCACAATCTATGTAAAAAGTATTTACGTAACACTCACACACGCGCGCGCGTGCACGCACGCATGCGCACACGCACGAAGGCAGTGTTCGCGCACGCACGCACACATGCACACGCGCACGAAGGCAGTGTTCGCGCGCGCACGCACGCACGCGTGCACACACGCACGAAGGCAGTGTACCCCTTGTATTTATTTATAACTGAAAGAAAACATTGCTGTAAAACAGTGTTTCCCCCTCCCTATGTGTAATGCACTATGTTTCTATTCTGTTTCGTAAAAAACATTCTGGTCATGACCCATTACATCTAGTGACCCACTTAATTGATTTTATGACTCATAGGTCATGACCTACATTTGGAAACACTGAATACTGGGTTCAGGGAAGTTCTGGGATGGATGGACCTCACAAAAGGCCTCACTACCTTGTTCTCTTCCAGTGTGAGGATGCGGTTTTGATTTTTGTTCTTCTTTATTTCTGACTTTCTGTAGTTACAAGGGATTAAGGACCAAACTGGGATCTCAGGGGAGAAGTCTGGGGACAGGCACTTGGCCTGTCATTGTAGCAATTCTCACAGGGAATTCCAAGTCTATGTGTCGGGGCAATTCTAGGCTTTTCCTATTCCATCTCTAAAATTGTGAGAAAACCAAGCTACTATTAGCTGACTGGTACTCATCAGCAGTGTTGCTGGAAGATTTTGGCGAATGCCTAGGTGAAATGATTCAGACACTCTTATCCAGTACCTCTGTCCTGTGAACTCTAGCTGCCTTGCCCTCTCCAGCCTGTCAGCTCCGTCTCAACCCAGGGAGTACACTGGGCTCTGCTTACATTTCCCCTGCGTGCCCGGGGTCTGGAAAAACCTCTCAAGGCAGTAAGTTGAGGGCAAACCATAGAGCTCTTCTCATTTGTTCCCTGTCCCTGCCCTTCCTTGTCTGATGTCCAGTGTCCTGAAAACTGTGGTTTCATATATTTTGTTCATTTCTGTTGTTGCCGTTTCAGGCAGGAGAGTAAATCTGGTCTCTGTTACTCTATCTTGGCTGGAAATGGAAGTCTTGGTCTTCCAAAAACTGAATAGTAGATGTGGGAATTTTGGGGACTAGGATAGGAATGTCTCCTGTGATAAATCAATACACTTTCTTTCTGTTTCTTTCTCTATGTTTCATTTGTGCATCTAACATTGATTGAGCATCTAGTGTGTGTAGACACAATGACAGGTGTAGGAGGGGTGGTGAATAGCTTTCACAATTCTTACTCTCTCGTGGGTCTGGTTAGCATCAGGCAGTCCTGGAGAGTCTGTCCATGGAAAAATGCTGTTTTTGGACCTGTGAATCTCAAGACCAGACCCAGGAAACTTGAACGTGGTGCCTCCCATGTCTGAAGGGCCAGTTGGTCTCTTTCTGAGGTCTTTATTTCCTTTTGCTAACTGCAATACTAATTCTGTCTTAATCTGTGAAGGGGTAAGTTTCATTTATTTAGCATCGATGAGTCTTATTTTAATGATGAATCCCATTTCAAAGAATACAGTGCAGAAAAACTTCACATTGTCTGTTTCTGATTATAATAATGATTGTGATTGAAGTGTCAGTACCAAGGAATACACACACACACATGTATATTCACATATATTCATGTATATGTATGTATGTGTGGGTATATTTATACATATACTTATATATGGTCTCTGAATATTTTTTCTGAAGTAAACTTTGATGGCATGCAATGAAGCACTTTATGATGTATGAAATCGTTACAATCAGATGATTGCTTTCCTCACAAATTCTAAGATAAATATCTATAAAATTTTCTATGAATATTTTCATAAATTGTATTGAAAAACTAGTGCTATCCATCTGGCAAAGATACACTTAACTCCAAGTTATACTTAAAAAGCCAATGCACTTACCATATGTCTCAATAATTTTAAGGTAAAATCAACTTGAAACAAGATGTCTGGGGCACATACACCATATCCAGTTGCCCAAAAGTTCATCTGTTAACCATTGCTCTGGCAGCGAGCATTGCTTTTTTCTTCAGTAGAGACTAACTCAGTTTTGTAAAGCTCAACTTTTTTTTTTCCTTACATAAAAGACTGTTCAACACTGATAAACTTTAATCCTCTTCAAATTTAAATGAAATTTTCTCCAATGTATAGTATTAAGGAAAAATATTCCAGGAAAAACTTTAATTATAACTTACTCTATTTATCCATGTAAAACACTGAACAAATGAACATATTATTCCATGGAGACAAAGTGACTTTCCTTTTGAAAAGGAACTCTGCTCTGTTTGTTTACTTGGGCAATCTTTTATCAAGTGAGGCCATTTCATAATTCAATTCAGCCCTCTTGTGTATTTTGGTGAACTTTTTCCAGATTCTCTACTGCGATTCAGATCCTTACAATGAAATTTGTATTGAAGTAATAATATAAAATCACAGAAACTATGGCAACAAAGGGGATGAATTTATAGAGAAAGTATGTTTTACAGCTTTGTTTTCTGAATTCTAGACCTGAATCAAATCCTATTAAATTACTATTTTGACATAATGTAGAAGTATGGTGTCTGTGCATGTCGGTTATTTTATCATAAAATTTAACTTAGTCTACCTCTTAACTTACTGAGCAAAAGTATAGAAATTGTCCCATCTTACTTCTCAGGAATATTGGGAATACAAATTGAGTAATGTATCTGAAAAAAGCTTTATGTCATTAGTTGGAAAGGAGGTCTTTTGGTCTAAGTGTATGTTATCCTTCTTATGGAAAGACAAAGCCGGATTTGGTGAAGTCAGTGGTGTGGGGGAGGGGGCACTGACAGCCAGAGTCACTGTGATCAGGACTTCTGTTCGAGAGAACATAGAAAAGAGTGATCAGATTTAGTTCTTTCTTCCCTGGAGGTCCTGCCAGATCTCTGTGTTCCTATCCAGATACCAAACCAACAAATAGTACATAAACTCCCATAGTTATGTGGTTAAAGAATGGAAATCAGCATAGAGGAAGTAATAATTTTGTAAAAACCAGAGTAGAGAATTTTAACAGAGGAGACCAGGGTGGAGGGGGTAGGGAAAGAAATGAAGTTAGCATTCCAAGTAAATGTGTTATATGAGAATCATGTACAAAGAAATACAGTGTATTAGTTTGCTCTGTTCATAAAATGGAACTGATTTAGGGAAAAAGGTTTTTCTACCACTCTTCCCTCGTCTCCTCTCCCTCTCTCTTTAATAATTATTGCTACCAAGGAAAATTGATGAATTGCTTTGAGAAAAAGGTCTAGTTATTTTGTGGCTGCTGTGGTTCAATTACATGAATTTCATTCACTACTGTACTTTTTGTATAATCTCCTCATCAGAAGGGAGTGCCTTTACCTGAAAAAAAAAATCCATAAATCAATATTTGAGAGAGTGACCTGGCCTAATTATAATAAAAGTTATGCTATAATTTCCACATTAAATTTTTCACTCTCTTATCTTTAATTCACATTAACGTCCCATAGTTTGTTGTGGGATGTTTTAGGGATGAAGTTGTTACTGCAGTCTATTTTCACTTGGTGGAAAGGTATACAATGCTTACCTTCACTGCTCTTTTTGGTGTTTCAGCCAAGATTGGTGGCAGAATCCCCTTGTAAAAACCAAACAATCTATTGGAGAAATAAAAGACTTTATGTAACGGAATCAGGAAACAGGTAATTCTGCTTTTGTTTATAGATAAAGCAACTAATCTTAAAGTATCCCCAATTATTCAATGTAGCACACCAATCATGAAGTCTTCCTTTGTTTTAATTCTAATGTGCAGAGATTATGAATTCTACAATTATTAACACTATGAAATTCAGAAGAATGGCACCAAGACTGGAATCCCCTGGGTACATTGCTAACCACAACAATGAGTTGTACCTAAAGGATGAACTTGACCTTCCTCACTCTAAGGGATCTTGAATTTATGTTCTCAGTTGTATGGTAGGTAGCTTCAAGCTGTCCACAGTTTTTTTTTTTTTTTTAAAGGTTTTATTTATTTATTTGACAGAGAGAGAGAGACAGTGAGAGAGGGAACACAAGCAGGGGGAATCGGAAGAGGGAGAAGCAGGCTTTCCGCAGAGCAGGGAGCCCTATGTGGGGCTCGATCCCAGTACCCTGGGATCATGACCTGAGCCGAAGGCAGACACTTAACGACTGAGCCACCCAGGTGCCCCGAAGCTGTCCACAGTTTTGCACTTCCTCCCTTGTAACCAAATGAGGTTCAGGTTATACCTGAGCCCACAGACTGGAACTTTCTGTGCTAACAAGGGGCACAAATCCTTACTTTTAGCTCTACTAACACAAAGGAACTAACAAGCTCTATCACTACGGAAACTGAGCTCCCAGCCCTGTCCTGAGTTAGTAATGATCTTTTTAACTTCCTTGATGGAGATAGAAGGTCAGGGACATACGTTGCTGGCAGAAGAAATGTCAAACTTCCTTGCTGAAACACAGTCTTACAGGGCCTGGGATGACTGTGAATGCCAATGTTGAGGGACTTGTCACATACTCAAATGTTTTTAGAAACAAAAACAAGGGCGCCTGGGTGGCTCAGTCGTTAAGTGTCTGCCTTTGGCTCAGGTCATGATCCCAGGGTCCTGGGATGGAGTCCCACATCGGGTTCCCTCCTCGGCGGGAAGCCTGCTCTCCCTCTCCCACTCCCGCTGCTTGTGTTCCTGTTCTCGCTATCTCTGTCTCTGTCAAAAAAATAAATAAAATCTTTAAAAAAAAAAAAAAAAAGAAACAAAAACAAAAACAAAAAACAAAACCGAGAATGAGTGCCATATGCTTATGATAAGGTTCATAAAATGTCACCACTTATTTCATATTAGATTTTAAGATTCAAAATTTTAAATTTGTCCACCCTGTTCCGGATGAACCCATAAGTGACTACAGAAAAAAACCGGGACTCAATGTGTTTGTATCTTAGGATGTCCATTTAACATAGAACTGGGGCTTCTCCGACTGACCTCTCAAGCTTCACTCCAACTTCCCTAAATTGGGTTCTGCTTCTAGAACAAGTTAAGAATTTATATATACTAATCCTCTGTGCCACCCAATCCAACGTGGTGATCTCTTTCTCTTCCCTGATTGACTGGCTTACAAAGCACACTTCAGTTAGGGAAGCAAAGGGTTTGTTTTATAGCTTCTAAATTGTTGGCTCCTTGAGGGCTAAGTGTGCATTAGTGTGCTTACCCCAGAGTCTTCTCTGTGTGTGGGTATGTAACCAGGACACAAACGTTTGTTAAGCATGTTGATTTCGCAAAGGGGAAGAAAGGAATCAAATGATCCCCTGATACGGGCTTACTCTACCCAGTACTTTTGACTTAATGGATAGTGCTAGCAGACATATGATTTGAAGAATTATGGGAATTCATGCTTCCACCTCCTTTCCATTCCAATTTCAACTACTAATGCCTGAAATTCACTTATAAAATTCAAATACCACCACTCTTTATCATTTACATTTCATTATAAATTAATCATTACATAATTTTCAGCATAAGAGTGACTAAGCATAGGCTCGGTCTTCCCAGAAGATAAATGTGATTATCTGAATAGAAGTTCTATATTTATAATGAAAGATTTATTAGTTCTGTTCTTTCTGTGCTGATTTTTCCATATCTGGAAGATTATGTCTGGTTTTTGGGGAAAAAGTTAAGAAGAACATTTAAATAACTAAAGCTTCTAGAACAGAGTGTCCCTGTTAATAATAGAGGTACTTGAAATCCCATACAACAGAGAGCAGTTACAGGAAGAACAGTCACTCAGCCTGGAGAACAGTCATAGGGAGAAACATGATGAACATGACTGATCTCTTGAAAGGTGAGCATGTAGGAAAGAGCTTCGACTTTTCCATTTGTTTTCAGGTGGTAGAACTAGGACCAACAGATGGAAGGAACAAGAAAAGACACATTATTGGGGTGCCTGGGTGGCTCAGATGGTTAAGCGTCTGCCTTCGGCTCAGGTCATGATCCCAGGGTCCTGGGATCAAGCCCTGCATCAGGCTTCCTGCTTGGCAGGAAGCCTGCTTCTCCCTTTCCCACTCCCCCTGCTTGTGTTCCCACTCTCGCTATCTCTCTCTCTGTCAAATAAATAAATAAAACCTTAAAAAAAAAAAAAAAGAGAAGACACATTATTGATCCAGTAGGAGCTTAATATAAGGAAGTACTCCTAATAGAATTATCTACAGATGGAATAGGCTGTCCTGAAAAATGATGAATTCTCCTTCATGGTAAGTTGTCAAGCAGTCTGGATGGCCACTTGTCATGGATGCCAGAGAGGGGATGTATACAGCAATGGATGAACTTGATGGCCCTCAAGATCGGTCTACTCCAACCCTCAGATTTCGTGGTTCTAAGAAAAATAACAGGAGGATATGGGAAAGTGCTTTCCTGAAGAGACAAAATCTGCCTTAACTTCAAACTTCTGCCTAAAGTAGAGTATTGCTTCTCTGGAGAAGGACAGAAATCTTCTGAGTAACACAGAAGGTCTTCATTTTAAAAATGATGGGAGAAAATATTAAAAAGAGGTGTAAGGCAGGAGGGAAGAGAGGCAGCTGGGAGAACCATAAGGATTTAATCTGAAAAGAGCTGGGAGGTCCAGAGCCCTCTGCTTCAAGTTGGCGATGCTTCCTTGATGCGCCCTCCTTCCCGTCTCTCTGCTCGGTTCCTTTCATGTGTAATCATCCCCCCGCCACCCCCAAATCCCTGCCACTGCCTCCAGCCATCCCCCCATCCTGAACTTTCTAACAGTGAATGAACAGCTTTAATGGGAAATTCTCAAGGACCATAGGCAGGCTTTGTTTGAAAATGGGAACCTAGATCTACTTCCTTGCACTGTTTTCACAATATATCCTTGCAATAGTAGACATCTACAGAATAGTCAGGCCACCACCTCTTCTGTTGAGAACTGCCCCACCCAATTTTTTAAAACACTGGAGCCAACACATTAGTACAATATGATACCACTTGTAGGCAGTTGGTTGATTGGGCACCTCACCAAATGGACCCAAATGGTATTCTGTCTCTTTGCCCCAATCTGATCCAAGCTAGACCTAGCAGAGTTTTTCTCCAGGATTTGGGAATTAGAACTGAAAAAGTCAAGTCTCGCTCTGTGTGGTTGGAGCTCTAAGACAGAAAGCTAGCATATCAGGGACAGTCTGTCATTTGGAGAAAGTCAATCTGCAGTGATAAAAAAGAAGGAAGCTACCATTCAGGGAAACACAGAAGCAAAATGGAGAAGAGAAGTTCTGATACTGGGTGTATGACCCTGCTGCCAGCAATTTTTTACACTTGGTTATATCTCAACCTTTCTTGAATATTGGCATTTCCCTTTGCTTTTCATTCTTTGAGATACCCAGTATCACTTAGAATAAATTCCTTTTTTTTTACACCTAAATAATTCTGAGTTGGGTTTATTACTTAACAACCCAAAGTCCTGAATCCAGAAAGTAAGCCTCACGGCCCCTACAGTCAAAGTGGCTGCTACAGGACCTCCGTGCCACACCCTCTCCCACGAAGAGCCTTTTTGTCAGTGAAGATTGGCCCTTGGGCCAATTAGAAGAGTCACACCTAAAATTAGAGAAAGAGAATGTGGTGGGCAAGGGCACAAGCTGACGAGCTACTTTTCTTGATTGATTAGATAATTACTGGAAGCTTTCCTAAGGTAAAGTACAACATACAGATTCTTAAAAACAAAAAGGAATTGTCATGTTTTATGAAGGAGATACTTTTTTTTTTTTCTGCTAAAGAACTAATGCTTATACCTACATGCACTGTTCACTCTGCCAAATTTTTCTGCCTTCATGTAGCTTTGGCTTGAAATACAGAGCATGTGGCTGAAGAGGACAGAAACTAGGGAAGTTGAGAGATTTGTGACACCCATATCAACATGCTTTATCCTGCTTACTTCTCAAGAAGCAGACTGACACATCCAGTCTACTTCCTAGATGAATGGAAACTAATTCTAATGTGTATGTAGCATTAATAGCAGTTCTTATCCCTGAAAAGACAGTAAAGCCACCATTCTGGCTTTAAGTTTTGACCAATATCAAGCCAAATGGAGAACTCTTTGGAAGAGGCATGAAAACCAATGCAAGACCTCCCATAACAAGGTGGTATGAACTATATGTCAGTCCTCAGTTTGTTTCTCAAAATTGTTATTTCTAAAAGTAGTGAATTTGGTTTTAATTATCCTATGTAGGAAAATGTTAACTTGGATGTTTATGGACTTTTGTTGATATTGATATAAGTAAAATAGTCAAAATTTGTCAAAAGCTTACTATGTACTAGCCACTCTGTTAAGAATAAATGTATGTATAAAGAACTTCTTAAACTCAACACCCAAAGAACAAATGATCCAATCAAGAAGTGGGCAGAAGACATGAACAGACATTTTTCCAAAGAAGACATCCAAATGGCCAACAGACACATGAAAAAGTGCTCAACATCGCTCAGCATCAGGGAAATCCAAATCAAAACCTCAATGAGATACCACCTCACACCAGTCAGAATGGCTAAAATTAACAAGTCAGGAAACGACAGATGTTGGCGGGGATGCGGAGAAAGGGGAACCCTCCTACACTGTCGGTGGGAATGCAAGCTGGTGCAGCCACTCTGGG